GGAAAGAGGGTTCCCTGCCATGCAAGTGGGCCACAGTTTTCCTAGGTAGAGGCTGCTGGGCAAAAGGAAGGAAGCTGAAGACAAGGGGCAGGTAAAGGGTGGTTGGCTGGTGGCTGGCAAGGAAAGAAGGAAGGAGGGAAAGGTGAAGGCACAGAAGCTGCCAGGAGGAGGGAAAAAAGAGGAAACAGTGTGGGGAAGGGGGATATAGGGAAAGTGAGGTGCCCACTGCGAGACCTTGCAAGTTCTTCATGTGCAACAGGGCCAGCACCACACAACAGTTTTTCCGGGGGAGAGGCTGTCGGGGAGGGGAAGCTGAAGATGGGGGACAAATAACATCCAGATTGCAAGACGTCATAGTCCTGCTGTACCCTGAACTGGTTAGGCCGCACTTGGGAGTCTTGTGTGCAGTTCTGGAGGCCTCCCTTCAAAAAGGATGCGGACAGAATGGAGCGGGTGCAGAAGAAAGTGACCAAGGTGATCTGTGGCCTGGAGACCAATCCCTACAATGAAAGGCTGCGGGACTTGGGAATGTTTAGTCTGGAGAAGAGGAGGTTGAGGCCGGACATGATTGTTCTCTTGAAGTATCGGAAGGGTCGTCACATAGAGGAGGGCAGGGAGCTGTTCCAGTTGGCAGCAGAGGAGAGGACTCGCAAGAATGGCTTTAAATCAAGGGCGAGAAGGTCCCAACTGGCTATTAGGATAAACTTTTTTACAGGAAGAGTTTGTTCCAACAGTGGGATCAGCTGCCTCGGGAGGTGGTGAGCTCCTCCTCACTGGCAGTCTTTAAGCAGCCCTAGAGTGATCGTGCAAGGAGCAGGGGCGTTGGGCTAGATGGCCTCTATGGCCCCTTCCAACTCCGAGATTCTGTGATTCTATGAAATAAAGGAAGGTTGGCTGGTAGGTGGGAAAGAAGGAAGGAAGCTGGGAAAGGTGAAGACGTGGGAACGGCCAGGAAGTCTGCGCATACAAACGGTGGCTCTTTTAAACCCTAGTTATTTATTCCTCCATGCCTCCTACAAAAAGGTGTGCATTTTTAAATTTTTTTTATTAAATTAGTCAAGTGTACATAAATAAACCCATTATATCTCAAGATTGCTGTATGAACATTAATACAAACTGTAAGTGCAGATACATATATCACAGTGCCATCTACTAACTTGTCAACAAGATATTTCCTATGACCGTATCCTTGTCACTTTCTTGTGATTTTCCAATTATTCTAAAATTGCTATAATAATAACGTATAATAAATCCATACATGTTTTAGAAAGACCTCAATAGTATTTTGTGAGAGTGCTCAGACCATAACAAATTCTCATAGATGCAGCCATTCTGCATAGCCAGTATGTGCTGGTAATACATCGTTTTCTGTGAAATATGTTATGAGAGGAGGACACCCTTTTCGAATGAATCTGGAATGGGACCCCGCATACCCCCGTGTGTGGGACTCGTATTTATCTGCTACTTTGTCCATCACAAAGCCAATGTTCCCTCTAAGCTGTGGAGTTGTGTGAGCAAAAATTCTACTTTGTGGGCTACTGGTATTAAAGTTGTGAGCGAGCCACTTGGCTATAAATTAGTTTGCTCTGGAGCCATCATTCCTGAGCGGAGACAAAAATGTGTGAGCCAGAGGCTAAAAAACGGTAAGCTAGCTCACACTAACTCAGCTTAGAGGGAACACTGGTCTCAACATTTATTTCTCCATTGAGCAATGGAAGGAGGATCTGCATGACGAGAAACCATTCATTGCACTGGAAAAAAAAGCGAGGCTGCCGCGTCCTCGAGACATTAGGCAGGAATCAAGCCCCGTTCGTTCCCCCTCCTCCAAAGAAGACCCACTCAGGTCTGCAAAGGGGACGTAGTCTCGAGAAAAACCACAGCCACCACACTTCCCGTTCCCCACTGAAACTGCGGGGCGACTACCGCCAGAGAAGAGGGTGCCACCATAAAAGTAAAGGCTCCCTTGCTCGAAAGCCAGTCGAGTCCGACTCTAGGGTTGCGGTGCTCATCTCCGTTTCAAAGCCGAAGAGCCAGCGCTGTCCGAAGACGTTTCCATGGTCATGTGGCCGGCATGACTAAACACCAAGGCGCACGGAACGCTGTTACCTTCCCACCGAAGTGGTACCTATTTATCTCCTTGCAATTTCTTGCTTTCGAACTGCTAGGTTGGCAGACCTACCCCCTATGAAGAACAGGAGGACCAGCGCCACGGGCATAGGACGCATGCGCGTCCCCAGTGGCGTTCCGGCCGCGCCTGCGTGGGTGCGGCGAAGGCTCTTCTCCTCCCCTCCGGGAGGTGGGGCAAGGGCTTGCCCTCCGCGGGAGCTGATTGGCCATGGGGAAAGGGGCCGGGAGAGGGGGGCGTGTCCGAGGCGAGAGGAGGCGTGTCCGAGGGGGCGCCTTGTCAGTCGGTGCCGGGCAGCGGTAGGGGGCGGAGGCTGCGGCAAGAGCAGCATCAGCAGCAGCGGCGGTGGCGGCCGAGCTGGAGCAGCCGCCTCCCTCTCCGCCGCCGTCCTCTCGCTCTCCCTGCCTCCCGGCCCCAGCGGCCGCCGCCGCCACCGTTGTCAGTCGGTGCCGGGCAGCGGTAGGGGGCGGAGGCTGCGGCAAGAGCAGCATCAGCAGCAGCGGCGGTGGCGGCCGAGCTGGAGCAGCCGCCTCCCTCTCCGCCGCCGTCCTCTCGCTCTCCCTGCCTCCCGGCCCCAGCGGCCGCCGCCGCAACCGCCACGCTGAGCCCGGAGCTGCAGAACCCGCCGCCGCGCAGGTGAGGAGGCGCCCCCGCCGGCCTCGCTGCAGCGCCGAGCGGAGGCCGCCGCAGTCGCCTGCCTTCCCCTCCTCTTCCTCCTCTCGCAGGGCCCGGCCGCGGACTTCGCCGTGCAGGGGGGGCCAGCGAAAGCTACTAGGAGGCGGCGGCAGGAGCAGCAGCTCTGGGCCTGGATCAGGCGGCTCCCCTAAGGAGGTCTCCGGTGGGGCGGAGGTGCAGGAGGAGTGTTGGGGGTGGTGCCTTGAGCTGGGACGCAGAGTGACCCCAGAATGGTGGGGGTCTCTGCTGGAGGCAGTCAAGGGATGTGGGGTGTCAAGTCTGGGGCTCTGAGATCGGCTTCAGCAGAGGGGGTGAAAGGGAAGGGGGGTGGTCTCTGGGG